GCGAGACGCAGTTGAGCCAGAATACTCAAGGCGAGATCAAATGAGCCTGGCATTTATACCTACCTATTTATAGGTATTTATGGGTATTTCGGGTGTTTTGGCTGGACTACATCTCGCCGAAATAAGAACCATGGCTCCAATAAACTCGCCTGATATGCCGCCGAGGCGTACCAAAAAGGTACGGTTAGGTATTTACCATACCCAAATTCAGCCAAAAATCCGACCATACCAGATGAGTGACTTGATGTGGCAGGATATTAGGATAGAAGACACGGCTTCTGATTGGCTAATTGCGAATTTGGGTATGTTAATTAGATTATTAAATAATTAGTAATATAATACTACGTTTTTGAAGGTGTCAAGCAAAACGGCAGTTTCCCGTTGAATAAGGACACTTAAGAAAACAATCATCTAAAATTATAAATCTAAATTTACCTCTCCCGTTTCTGAGGGCTAAAAATCAATGTAGATATGACATTTCTCTAGTGCCAATGACACATTTTTGATTCTGTTTATTTCCAAACCAGCCTCACGAACTTTAATCCACAATAGAAAGCTAACAGCAAGAACTTATGGTTATTATGAGACCTTAATTTCGTAACAATTTTGTTTGTCACAATTTTTTTGAAACAAGATTGGTTCAACTAATCATTAGGGAACTCGCCACATAACTTATAATTTGCAAGATAACTGGAAAAGTTTAACAGAGACTTACTACATTCTATTTTGTCAGATTGTTCAGATCTGCTAAAATCAGGCTATACTCAGAGTGGAGTGTACTCTATCAACCCAGACGGTACAGGACACTTCAGTGTCTACTGTGACATGCGCACTGACGGTGGAGGCTGGACCGTGTTTCAACGAAGACAGGATGGCTCGGTAGAGTTCTATCGGGGATGGGACGACTACAATGCAGGCTTTGGTCAGCCGACTGCTGAGTTCTGGTTAGGAACCGACAAGATCCACAGGCTGACGGCCTTTAGACCCAGCTCGCTACGAGTGGAGCTAGAGGACTGGAACGGAGGTAAAGCGTATGCCAAATATAGCAAGTTCAACATTGACGATGAGCAGGCGCAGTATCGACTTGATGTGGTTTCATATTCAGGGACAGCGGGAGATTCGTTAGCATGGCATAATAACAAGGCGTTTAGTGTAAAGGACAGAGATAATGACAGATGGAGCGGTGGGAATTGTGCCGTAAAATACACTAGTGCCTGGTGGCACAACGATTGCCACTACTCCAATCTAAGCGGAAAATACCTGGGAGAAACAACTAGCGTCAATTGGCACTACTGGAAGAATGCGTATGTCTCACTCAAATTCACTAAATTGAAACTGAGGCCGTCATCGTAAAAATAATACCAGTTAATTACAACTGAGCTTTTACAATTAATTTTGTTATGTTATGCAATTGTACTTTAGTCCAAAGTAAGTTTTTTCTGTTTTTCATCAACCCTCGGTCTCTCCCCTGCCCTCCCCCCTCACCTTCCTCCAACTTTACGCTTACTTTGTTTCTAAAGTTTTTGTGTCGGGCCACAAGAAAATGAAAACAGTCCCCTCAGCCAAGTAACCACTGAGAATTTTTCGATGTCCTTTAGATGATGGACTTCCGGTATTCGAAATTGTTAACAACTATACTCCGTTAAATATTAAAGCTAGTTTGGCTTCAAGTCGGTAAATGAAAATTTCCCGCGAAACAAGAGTTGAAAACTTAATTCTTCGTGATATATGATTTTGCTTTCTTTTATCATTTTTCAAAAGACCGACTCTGCGAGCCATTTTTGTCCCCCAAACCGCTGAATCCTTTGATCTACCGTATTTCTTTGTCAGGATGCAGGATTTAGCGTTAAAGGTAGAATGGAGTGACATGTCACGTCACAGGTGACTTTTAGTAAGTTTAGTTTATATTGTATGGAACATTTCAAACAAAAAGGCTTCCAAAAGCCCGTAAGAAACCTGGAGAAGATCAAGAAAATGGACCAAAAACAGCAATAATTTCGTTATTGTCCGGCAGAGAGATTTTTATCTACCTAGTTTTAACACAGTGTCAGAGATAACCGTACCAAAAACACTCAGCCAGATATTTAGACCCAAGACTCTAGAGTAAGATATCAAGTCAAAAAAGATCGGCAGTCAAGACCCGAATACGCAGACTTGATTTTAGTAACATCCTTGCAGGCTGTAGTGGCTGCCATCTGTGTAATTCTTGATTTTAATTTCTTTTATTCATGATTTTAGACAGTGTTATAAGTAGTATGCAATTCTTATTTTAGCTTCATTTAATCTATTTTAAATTCACCTATTTGTATTTTAGCTAGTATTTTAGATTTCTTAAGGGTCCCCTATTAGCAGCGGGATACTCTTCTGCTATTTTTCTTGACGCGCTAATAAAGTTACTATTTTTATTATTATCTTCATCATCGTCATCGTCATCATCATTATTATTTTTTACCAAAAGAAAGCCAGTGGAAGATATGGGTATTACCTTCAACGACAAACAGAAAAAGTCCGCTTGCTGTTGACTGAGACTGTTTTCCTTTCCTCGAATCCTTCAAAAAATTCACAAGAAAACGTAAAACAAAACCACTTTCACGAAGAAGCTGTACACGAAGAAGTATATCGTTGCATTTTTCTTTCACTATAAAATAAAGCGAGTACCCAGCTAATGGATTTGATATCGTCCACTGTTGTTGACTCCTGACTAGCAAATCAAAAAGAAATTAATAAATTATCCAACAAGAAACGGAAGAACGTTACAGAAAGTTGTATCAGTCTCATTAGTCATTTACTGTTCGCGTTTGAACAAGGAGTGGGTGGGTGAGATAAGTCAATGTAGGTTAAAGTGTTTTGGAATTGTAAAAGGATTTTGTATCAATACAATTCTACTCGGCTCTTCTTTTGTTTTCGTGAAACGCGAAATGATCATCTTATTTCTGTGAAGTGTAAATTTTCCATTTATTTATTTACATATTTTTTGAAAGTTGATTTTGATTTTCAATTTACCACCCTCTTTCCAAAAATTTCAAAACTTCAGTTAAACTTCGAACCAATAAAATTCGAAGCATTCTACTTGTGAGTAAATCAATGCCGTCGTTAGCTTTTTTAATGTTTGGTGGAGGTTTGATGTTCTAAAGGCAAGCGTGTTGGCCGGGCGATTGCAAGTTATCTGGTCAGGGTCTTTGTGTTGTGTTGTGTTCTTGGGTAAGACATTTGACTCTTACAGAACCTTAAAATGTTGCCGCTTGTTGTGTTACCTGACATAGTATTAAGCGCCTGCCTGAAATGTACTGGGCATCTTCTTCAAGGAGGAGTAGCAATATTCCCGTCGTGGCGCGCTTAACTGAAATACAGTCGAACCTTCGGTTGCGACCTCCTCTCCTCGATGACAGTTTTACAAAATACCAAAAGTTTCCAAGTCAAATCACTATATCTAAAACCTCTTTTAAGCGACCACCTCTTTGTAAGCGACTGCGACCACTTTCAGGGCTAAAAAAACAAAACTTTTTTTTTGTTTTTAACCTCTCGTAAGCGACCACTTGACAGACAATAGAGCGGAAATTGGATAATAAGGTGTTGTAACATTATCGCAATCTTACCAGACGTTTTCTCGAAAATGACTTTTCACGTAAATAAAATATTAAAAATTGAAAGAAAAATGCGCATACACTGTACTCTAACAGTCTCAAAGGAGACGTCAACTCTGAATAAATACTTTGGAAAGGTAAATATTCTTGCTGTAATAGCGTTATGGTTGGGTTAAGATTAAGGAAGACACGCATTCAGTGCTGCGAGTAACTCATTGTAATATCATTCTTAGATCATGTTACATTTAAGTACATTAATGGATCACGTGTACGATGATGTAATCACTACACCCCTCCTTCAGATAAGTTCCTAAGAGTTCATGTCTCAATGTATTATTTAATCACTAGTACAAATTTGAGCGCAGCACTCTGACCTAATTGCAATCAGCTGATAATTA